TTTCTATACCTTTGGGAGTTGAAAAATTCTCAAGATTTTCTACACAAATATCACAATACTTGCAGAGACACTGAAAATGTCACACACCTCAGATGAAATTCCAGATTCTGTAAGCAATAATGCTAATAGGATGAAATATTCTATTAAGTTTAGCCTGAAATAGATCAAGTGTACCAGATATATTTTTGTTTGAGCACCTAATCAGAACGGAGCAACTTGATTTTTAGCACAGAAAAGCTCAAAACAAAATTTCAAGCATTTTTCTCCGGCTTCTTTGTTTCAAGTTCCAGCTGAAGGTTTCTTCCTTTCCAAGATTATTTCTTAACAGTGTGGCACCATCATATCTTTATGAACATCTGCAGCTTCTATACTTTATGGTCTGTTGTTAGTCTCTGAGGTCATGGATCAAAAAGGGAGCTTGCTGAGCCTTCTCAGTGGTTGGGCAAAGATGTGGAGCAACCTGCATCCACATATCTGAGCTATTTGAATCGAATCTATTTGACTGCTTTTTTGTTCAGTTGTTTTTTTTATTTTGTTTATTGTTTACACTGCTAATGCCTTTTATCTGTGTAAAACTTTGGTGAACCATTGTTGTTTTTATGTGCTGCAGAATTTGATTTTGATTTGACATCATTTTTAATGGTTTGCCCCTATCTTACGAATCAGAAAAACTTGGTTATTTCCTGCCCAGTCCTAAGGATGTGATGTCAATTAATGCTGCATACACACCCCAAACAGGTTTAATAGAGGAAGTTGTGATTGAAAACGTTCTTCAGTTCTGCAAGATGGTGAGGACATCTCTTATGCATGGCTATGAAGAAGAACCCAGATGGGGAGTGGTGGCCTAGTGGTTAGGGCACTGCGCTTGGACTTCCGAGGTTCTGAGTTCAAGCATCAATCCCACAGACTGCCACTCTGGATCCCTGAGCAAGACCCTTAACCTGACACTGCTCCCCGGGCACCTACTATGGCAGCCCACTGCTTCCCAAGAGGATGGGTTAAATGCAGAGAGTTAATTTCGTTGCTCTGTACTTGTGACAGTGTAATGACAATAAAAACTGGAATGACAATAAAAGCTGTCCTCTGACAGGTTTCTGAACTCAGGCTCTGCTTGTCTAAAATATAAATTTGTTCTGCTAAGGCCATTGTTTTTTTTTGTCATGATCTTGGCACCTATGGCTGGATGTGGCTCTTTTCTCACACCTGCTTTGCTCCGCCCTGTGCCCTTTGTCTCTAATCAGATTAATCTGTTCCTGCTTCTATTTAAGCTACCTGTTGTGTTTTGACTGCCTGCCTGATCCTGACCTGTTTCTGCCTCCGGACTTCTGAGTTTTGGTCGCCCTTGTTCTGGTCTGTGTTCCAGAGAAACCACTCCTTTGACTTCACTCCTTCTTGTGCGCACCGACTGAACTTAACCAGGTTATTGACTCTGATTGTCATTATTGTTTCCCATCTGAGTTCTGAAGTCACTGACCTGAGTTTCTGTCTCTACAGAGTAGATTTAGCATTTCTACTTCAACAGTTGAAGAACTATTGTTTGGTAATTCGCATCACAAAATAGTATCTGGCAAAGGCCAAATATAATACTCTATGATATTGAGTAGGAAAAAATGTGTCTTGTTCCCTTCAGTTTGGAAGAGGGTTCATGCCTCAAGTGGATTAGTTCGGGTATTTTGGGGTAAAGCTGATGATTTGATCTTTTAGAATTTTAGATAAGCATGAAAGAGAGATTTTATTGCTGAATTACTAAGTGAACGTTTCCAATAAAGAAAAACAGAATTTGAATCTTTGAGTTTCTTCCAAAGTAAAGTCCAGACTCTGGACCTGCATCCAAATTCCAGGCCAGTACCAGGTGATAACTTTTTTAAAGGTTTGTAGGTTAAACTTTTCCTTTTTTTACCATTGTTTCACCCAGTGGAAACCAACTTAGTTTAGCATAGAAAAGTAGCTATAATTTACTCACTGTTTTCAGGCATTTCAGACCCCTTGTGGCTCTATCTGTTGGACCACCATCCACCCACTGTTACCTTCATATGACCTTGACGGATACCTTTAACTATGGTACTACTGGTTCTGTGTTCATGTTTTATTTACCTGTACAGGGGAACATATGGTAGCAATGCTGTCTTACTGACAGAGGTCTTGCTGCATAGAGTTTTGATGTTATTTCTGGACACTTCAACATGGAGGAAGGGGTATAGGGGAATATATATATATATATTTCTCTTCCTTTTTCCTGCGTAATCATGAATTTGTGTTTCACACCAGTCCCGTCTCCTCCTCTGAACAGCAGTTGTTTTACAGATATTCTGAAGCTCCACTACTGAACATTTTGTGAAAAGACCCGAAGCACAATCAACCTTCAGCTCTCTCACACATAATTACTCATTTTCAATAGGTCCTACACCTGCGGGGGTACAGCAAACATCCAAATCAGCAGAACTGGAGCTGAGCAGAGCTTCAGCATTTCCTGCGGTCCCTGCCATCTCGGTTTCAACGCAAGGACACCAAGCAGCTATTTTACAGAGTTTGATGTAATCTATTTGGAATTAAGCTTTAGAAAAGAAAAAAAAAAAAAAAACGTTTATCCTTAATATGTCTCTGGAGAGAAAGTGAAGCAGATGTGCTTGAGTTATGAGCTGATTGTGATTAACTAACAATTTGACCTCATTAAAGGCGAAGTGTCCGATTTTGGCACTGAGGTTTTTATGTTTCCTTTGATTTCCCATTCTGAGAATATAATGAGAGTTTTTAATTAATAGCAGCAAAGAAAGAAAGCAGCCAAAACATCAGCAACATCTGGAGGAAAAGGTACGATCTTGATTAATTAAAAAGTTTGCCTCCAGAGGAATAGAGCAACTGTGCTCCATTGCAGAACCTGCCAAGACCAGAGGTTTTGCCAGGAGAGGAGTGTTCTTCTCATCCATTATCCCATAGAAAATATGTATCTTTGTACAGCACTTTCAAAGGGCCAACATTACATTTAAGTTAAGGTCTGGACCTTTTTCTTTGAACTGAAGACTTTAAATTAAACTCTGAGAATAATGCAGAAAGCACCATTGGAGAGTGCTCCCTGTTGTAAAAGTTTACCATTTTTTTTAATTGTTTTATCTTATGAACAGTTGCACTTTAATTTAGATAGCTTCTGTCCAAACTTTATTTATTCATTTTATAGTAAAACCCATCTGTATATATGCTATTGTACATATCTGTAAAATACCCTTTTTATAGTAATATCCACCTGTATATTATATTCGGTACATATCCAGCTGTAAATTTAATTCATAATATTAGTTATCTATATATTATATCCATCTATTAGTAAGATTCTGTTTATAATGGTATTCATCTCTATACTTATTCAGTAGAAACCCATGTCCTGTATTTATAGAACCATTATTTATCCTGCACTTGCTGCTATTGCACTTCTGGTTAGACCTAAACTGCATTTCGTTGCCTTGTACCTGTACCTGTGCAATGACAATAAAGTTGGATTTAATCTAATCTAATTTTCATCAGTTTGTCTGTTAAAAAGGCCCAATGACTTTTGAACATGCCTTTTTAACGTTTAGCACCCCCAAATGTTTTGTGTTTATATTAGATGCAGCTTCGATAACATAATAACTCCGGCTTTCTTGCTTTTTGATAAAAGTGACGTTCATTATCAGTCATTCAAAAGATCCAAACTATTTCAGCAGCATGACCTTTAGCCTCCTGCTGAATCTGCCACACCTGCTTAATAATGCAGAGCAATGGCAGCACAAATACCCTAGTTATTTTTACTGACGAATCAGTTAATCAGTGCATCTAACAGCTAACAGTATTTTTTTTTATGTAGGTTTTATCTAATGAATTACCTGTTTTGTGACTTTGTAGACCACTGAGGGAATATGAGTCAAACGATCTCTGTGCGTGGATGTTTTATTGGTTTTTGAATGTATTCTTATGTGTTCAGGATCTGTATTTGTTTGTGAAGAAGGTGCAAAGATGAGAAACGAAGGCCGATCTTTTAATAGAAATATCATCATTCCTGTGTGGAGCTGTTCTAATGTGAAACAGCAGCAGCAGCTCAATTACACTGACCCTTTTGATTAGGATAACTGTTTGTTGCTCCTTAAAGGCAACATAAAGAAGAAAGATGTGGGAATCTATGAATGCATCTCAATTGATTAGGATATCATTGAAAAGTTTTTTCTTTTTGTTTGTTTGGTTTTTAATCACTGATTTAAGTACATATAGTTGTCCACCTACTTGCATTTACTTCTCTCATAAAACAGCCAAAGAGTCAATTAGTCAACAATTCAGATGCAACACATGCCTAAATGTTATAAATATTACTGACTGACGAAGTTGTTTGAAGTTGTATATTCAACTTTGAAGTAAAGAAAAACACATATGTTCAAGGCGATATATTACTAGAAATACATGCAATCCTTTTCAGAACGAGAGATGTTCATCACTTTCTTCCTTATGATTAAGAGTGTTGCTGTTTGGAGCTTTTCAGCCTACTTCAAGCTGTCAAACAGATTCAACTGTAGTAGCCTCTAATTTACTCTGCAGCTCCTCCACTGATCATGACTGGTTACTACAGAGATGCACTGGTAAAATGAGGTTTGTTACAAAATGTCTAAGTTGAATTGGAGCTTTTATTCCCAAATAAATGAAATTGTCAGAAGCAACCTTTTTTTTTTTCCTCACGTAATTTTTTTTATATCAAAATTTGTCTGATGAGTTGAAACATTTGAATTTAACACACAAAAAAAAGAGAAAACCTGAAATAAATCTGTGTGGAGACTGCCAGCTCTGTCATTGCTGATGGCTCTGACTGTTTTCAGTTCGACCAGCATGTTTATGTCAGCAGTTTTGGAAGTTTGGGCTCCTGTTTGGGGGACCTGCCGGGGGACCCGGACTGACGTCCCTCTCTGGTCTCACCGGTCACGTAAAAAAAAGCGCATGTGTGTTTCTGGCTCTGGTGCCAGTTGAGCCGCATCTAGACGCACTGGCCGCCGCTGGCTGCTGCCCGCCCCCTCTCCCCCTCCTCCTCCTCCTCTTCCTCATCATCATCACCCTCCTTGTCCTCCCCGCGTCGCCCCTCATCTTGGTGCTGTTGTGCGCAAAATCTCCAGCGCTGGACGGAGGGGACGCAGGACATCAGAGGGGAGAAAAAGCCACCCAGAGCTGACATGGATGTTTGACTCTTTACGAAGCTCTTTGATATATTTTTGAAGGATGCTGCTTTTGCCCTAGGAGGGTGAGAATTGGACCTGCTCGATGTTTCTCTTCAGTTAATAACCGAACCAAAATGAGGATTTCTTCCTGTGACTGGATTCTGTTGATGTTCTCGGGCTTTTGGGGGCCGGCGATGGCAGCTTTCCCGAGCAGCGTTCAGATCGGTGAGTGAAGGTTCTGATGTCAGCCCTTGCAGAGCATGCCGGTGACTGTGTGCATGGACGTCCTGCGTGCAGCTGCTTTCCTGTCATCATCCAACAACCTCGGAGCTGCAGAGCATCACCAGGTTTTCGGGTTGTTACCTTTAGAGCATGCAGTCAGGAGGGTTAATGCGCTTTTTATCTGCGGACTACACTGACTGTTGATCCGAGCGCACTCACATGCTGCCACTGCAGCAGATCACAGCAGTAAAGAGTGTCTGTGTTCTGCATGCAGGCTGCCTATGCATCTGCTGCTTTTAACACTCTTGAGTCCAGTCCCAGTGGTTCATTCTCTTCACAGCTGCCTTGTCTTTTAAAGTATATCATGTTCCAGTTTAACCACTTTGTATTGTAGATAGTGCCATAGGGGGAATAAAGGTGAAAGCTTTATGGTTTTCATTATAGAAGGGCAAACTGTGACCTCCAGCTGTTGATCACCATTTAAAGCACTCCTTCTGTCTCATTAAAACCATTCATCATTACCAGCAACCTTTATTCGTCTGTCAAATATGCACTTTTTGGTGATTCACCCTTCACTGAACCCCTGCCTCTAAATTAGAGGGAGGCTGATGAAAAATGACAAGCTGTTCAAACCCTTCTTCTTGTCCCTACATATTACTCTAGCACTCAATCCCCAATCGAGGGGCCAAAGGTCGGGGTTTGTTGCAGAACATTAGGTCCTACCTTCACAGCTGTGAGGGGAAATAAAGGGGGACAAAAAAACCTGCAGAAATGCTTTGCCATCCTGTCAGCTTTTTATGTAACGAGCATTTCTGAGGGTGTGTGTGTGATGGAGGGGGTACTCTGCCATCACTAATAAACTCTCCAGATATTTGCTTAAACCCACAATTGGAGCTTATTATCATTTGTTTAGCAAAACTGCTGCCAGATATGGGAAGTGCTTATGCAATCGCTGTCTCATCGTTCTGCCCAAATCAGGCCCACTCTGACCTGTGGGGAGTACAGATAACACTAAATATCAGCTTTTCCCCCATGATGCAGATTTTATTTCACATTCTATCCAAAGTTTCCTCATCAGTTTCCAAAGAGGACAAACATTTCCCCAAAACCTCACATCAGTCTCAAGTGATTTATGTCAGTAGATTAACAGCTATTATTGTCAGAGGGGAAATATGTAGGATTCATGCAGAAATAGAGACATATCTAAAAACTATTAAATTCTTTCGCAAACGTGAAATAAAGCCCTAAATGAGTTGCTATGGCACTGAAATATTGAATCTGAGGACATTTACATTTAGGAGAAAAAAACAGGAAATGTTTCTATTGGACAGAATCACAGTTTTTGGGAGTTTGGAGGAGTTTTCTACACATCTCACAAGATTGGAACAAGCTTAGATTTCTTTGATTTCTGTACAATCTTACCAGATGTTTCAGAGTCCAGGTTCCTCTCTGATGCGGTCGTCTCTTAAGGCTTCAGGCACAAGAATAGCTATGGATGAAGGTGATTCAACCACATTATGGATTAAGGCTGAAAAGCCCCTAAGAAAAACACAGAGGCCAGATGTAAGTAAGAATTAATTAATGATTCCATGACCTCTAACAAGGTTCCCCTGTTTTTTTTGGAAGAAATATCAGCATCCACAGCATCACATATAGCCCAAACGTAAACTGGTAAGCATGATGTAATTCATGCAAATTTAGCTATGGTTCTAAACCAAATCCAGTGGGAGCATTTGTTGGTTAGAAGCTCCTTCACTCAACACTTTTTTATTCAGACTTAGACTTCTTTATTTGTCATTTTTGGTTGTTAACAAAGATATATCTCAGCAGATGGCCGCTCTCACTGAGACTGGTTCTAGTGGAGGTTTCTAACGGTTAAAAGGGAGTTTTTCCTCTCCACTGTCGCTACAAGCATACTTGGTATGAAGGATTGCCTTTGAGTCAATGAGTCGACGCAATCAGAGGGTTTTCCGTAGATATGAAGCGTTGAATCAATTTGGCTGTATGATCTGGTTGAATTGTAAGGTTCCTTAAATTTATATGTGTTGTGAATTGGTGCTATATAAATAGACTGATTTAAATTGAATTTATAATGGCCAAATAACGTGGCAGCAACACAAGCCATATATTAATCTGAATGTGTTGAAGATGGCTTCCCAAACTCAAATTAAGCAGCAAAAGAATAGAAAGTGACTAAACATAGTGTGGTTGTTGGTATCAGATAAGATGGTTCAAAAGTTTGCAAATCTGCAGATTTTCTACAGTGGTCGAGAGATGCAAATGCACTATAAACACATTAACGTGGTACAATTACTAAGCAAACAAAGTTTTTAACTTTCCAGTTGTCATTATGAGATGGAAACATGTACTGAACTACTACTGAAATTTGGAAATACAGCTTTTAAAAGAAAACTATAAAGAAGATGCAAATTAAACAAATTTAGAAAATGACTGGCACCCTCCATTAAACTGACACAAGCTTAAAATAAAGCATACATGTATGTGGCAATGCACACATGAAGCTGTAATACCATTCTAAATAGTAATGGTTTACGCTTCTTCTGGACATGTTTCATTCATCACAATGCAGTCGGGTGTGCCCATACTTCATGTTGTGCAAGGGATTGTTGGTTTTCCTATCGTTCCTTGGTGCCAATGTGGGACCTTGCAAGCTGTGGAATTCTGAAGCAGATGCACTACAGCCGCAAAATACTACAGCAGGTGCCATTACTGTCAATTAAAACAAAACAAAAAACAAAAAACTAAGGCTATAATTCACACAAACATACAAAAATTTGAGGCAAGCATCTTGAAAACTCTATTAATTAATGCTTCATGTCCTGAATTCCAGATCATTACACTGGTATCCTGAACATAATGAGTTCACAGACCTCCGGTGACCTCCACAGTCACCAGATCTCAGTCCAACTGAGAATGGGATGCTGATAGATGTTGTGAAAAAAGAGGTTCTCATTATGGATGTTCTGACATCTGGAGTAATTGAGTGATTTTATAGATTTATCAACATATGTCTGTAAAAACAACCCAAACACAGTTCAGGTAAACTTCTTTCTCAATTCACATAAGGACAATCATAAGGGTTCAACTTCCCTCTACGCTCAGTTCACACACCATTTGAGATTCTTTTACATTTTTTTTATTGCTTTAAGCAGTGGTGCATTTCAGGGTTTTATGAAGTGCAAGCAGCAATCAAGATTTCAGAATGTGTTAGGTTCACTTTAGAAGAGAATGCAAATGTAGATAAATTCAAGCCCCTACAGCACTGCTCCACTTCTTAGGTGTTGCACTTACATATGGCTTCATTATCACTTCATGAAGTCTATTTTTGGCAAATAATGTCCACAGCCTCCAATAAGCTTTCTCATTGGATTTTTCCCAAACTCCATTCCTGGACTCGAGTCTTTAAGGGCCAACAACCTAGAACATTTGGATGTGTTACTTGCATTCAACAGCTTTAATCAAATCAACTACAATGCATTCCACAGAGCTCTGCTAATTAGATAATATAAGAGTCAGGTGTGTTGAAGCAGAGGCCATCTATAAGTTGCAGGAGACCAGCCCCAGAGGACTGAAATTTGAAACCACTGATTTAGTTTCATTCATCTTCCAACCAACTATCCCTCTCCATGCTGTGGAATAACTTTTTTACTGCATGATGTCGTCTTCAACACTGGTAGGATGGTTTAGGCTGATAGGCAATGTTAGTTTTCTTTCTCTCATCAATTTGTATGTCGGCCAAAAACTTTGTGGCAAATTTTTTTTTACTGAATTTGTTCCAACGAGAATCTATTCTCTCACCACTCTTTCTTAAGGATCCAAATGATGGAGAGCACAACCGATACCTGGTTGACCTTTGATCAGATTTCTCTTGAGCTGTAGATCTCTGTAGACCAGGGATGTCAAACTGGTTCCAGAGGCTGCAGGTTTTCTTTCCAACCAAGCAGTAGCACACCAGACTCCAATCTGAACACAATGACTTGATGAGATGAATGGAGTCTGGTGTGCTATTGCTTGGTTGGAAAGAAAACCTGCAGCCACACGGCCCTTTCTGGAACCAGTTTGACACCCCTGTTGTAGACCCTCCACGGGCCTCTTTGCTGCTTCTCTGATTCATGCTCTCCTCTTCCAGCCTCTTAGCTGAGGGATACATCCATGTCTTGGTTTGTCTGCAGTTGTTCCATCCTCCCTCCATGTTTAGAATATGTATGAACAGAGTTCTGGGAGATGTTCAAACTGGACAACTGCAGTTAGACTCAGATGGGCTAGATTCTGGTTATTGATTAGAAAATGCATTTTTAACTCAGAGAAACTACATTTATTTATTTAAAAAAATGAAAACCTCATACTTGCCACCTTCCTCTTCATCCTGGAAACGGTCATGAGGGCAGCATTCTCAGCAAAAGCTCACAGACTCCAGGCCTCCCAGCTTTGTTGGGGGAAGCCAGAGGTGCTCCAAGACGAAAGACTATTCTCGGCTGGCCTCCCCCTCGTGGGACGTGCCTGGAACACCTCCCAATGAAGTTGTTGAATGGGCATCGGAAAAAGATGTCCATGCCAACTCAACTGATTCCGTTCAATGAGGAGGAGAAGTAGCTCTATACTGAACCCCTCGCGAATGACTGAGCTCCTAAGCTTATATCCAAGGGAGTGCCCAGCCACCCGCTCACTATAGCTCTAATAACTCTTACTGTTTGTGTCAAGATCCTGGTCTTAGGACCATTAGTGACGGTAGGACCACCCGGTATAACAACTGCTTTACCGTTTTGCTCAGCTCTCTCTTCCACACAACTGGCCAGTGCAATGTTTGCGTGATAACACATATCCATTTATCAATCTCGCGCTCCCCTCTTCCCTCCCTGGTGAACAGAACCCTAAAATACTTGAACTAATTCATTTGAGGCAGCAAGTTTCCTCCAAACTGAAGCGAGCAAGCCCTTTTTTCCAGCTGAGAACCACAGTCCCAGATTTGGAGGCGCTACAAACATCCATGCTTTAAGTCTTGGGTAAAGGGAGCCAGCAGAACAACAATTTGCAAAAAGTAGGCAAGAAATCCACTGGTCCCCAAACCAGGCCCCATCCGGCCCAGATAAATGAACAGGACCACTTACAAAGGGCAGCTCTGTCAGAATCCAACATGCACCGGGAACAGATCGAACTCAACAGCAGCAATTGACAAATTGCCTGCTCAGCTTTACAGGGAACGGATGCCCACTAGTAAGGATTCTGACTCTGTACTCCTGGAGTGCCCCCCACAGGGCATCCTTAGTGACATGCTTAAATGCTTAAAGGGACATGCTCCAGATCCACAAAACCCATGGAGCTGTTGGGCAAACGCCAATGAACCCCTGAGAACCTGGCAGAAATTAGGGAACTGGTCCAGTAATCCACAAAAAAATGAAAGAATGAACAAGGAATCTTGTGTTTTTTCTCTCTTCATAGTTTTGCAATACTTTGTGTCAATCTGTCACTTAAAATCCCACCAATATCCACTGGGATTCATGCTTGTTACTCTGCATCTGTGTTCCAAATGTAAAGGTGTCATTTTGGCAAACAAAAAGTGGGTCGTCATGAGAGCAGAACCAAGCTCACATGTCCTGTCACAAAGTAAATTATTCTGAAGTTTAACTTCTTTAAATAGGTCATGCATGAAAAGAACGCTCTGACATTTAGCTTTAAATGACATTTACACTGTCTTGTCCTAACAATGTTGCCTTAAGTCTGAATCTAAAATATCAGACAAACCTCTTCTAACACCTGTGACATTTGCACAAACACGAGCGGCTTAGATTAGGTCTTTGTATATTAACAGCAGGATAAGTCAAACAGACTGAGGAGAGACAGGAATGATTTGAAACGTCAGACGGATTTATACAGTTGCTCAGTTGTTGTTTTAAAGGGAACAGAAGGAACTTCTCAGCTGATCTACCATGATGTTGGAGGAAATACCATGAAATTTCGTTTCAGAATTCACGCATGTTAAGAAAGCTCCAAACAGACAGCAGCAAACCATTTGAAAACAAATGGCGCAAAGAGCAGTGTTGGGAACTTAGCGCTTTTGTCGCTATATTTAGCGACTTTTCAGACCCCTCTAGGACCTTATCTTAAAAACCGCCTAGTGCCAAATCTAGCGACTTTTTTCTGCTACTGTAGACTTTGGCAACAACATATAAAAGTCCGGAACTCTGCTCTCCAGAGCAAGTAGATTGGTAACCCCGCCTCCTGCTCTCCTTTATCTTGTCAGCTGACATGATATATGGAGCTATTATTTCATATAAAGGAAAAATGGTGAACAGATAAGCAGATCATGGCTTGTCTACAATAAGAAGGACTTATGCACATTTGCAGTTGCCTTTTTGGAAACACAGGAAGGAGCAAAGAGCTAGTGAGCTTAGTGCTTTGAAAAATCTTTCATTCCTTTTGAGACAGCATGAAAAGTCAGCTGAGTATAAAACATACAGAGGAAAATGACAAGGAAAGGGACAAGAAGAGAGGGACAGAACATAGAACAAATAATGTATGTGTATTCTATTAAATTTTGGGTATCTGTCTATTTTTTGTTTTGTCTGCTCAATTCAGAGGGCCCCACGCCTGTTTTTACCTAGATCCACAAATTTCCTAAATCCGACGCTGGCCGTCATTTGGGAACATCCAAGTGGCCTGTGAAATATTTCATAAAAATTTAAAACACAAATGATCTACAGTAGGTAGAGATGTCCCGATCCAGGTTTTTGCACTTCGGATCCGATACCGATATTGTTTTTGGACTTCCGATCCGATACCGATACTGGCCGATACCAGCCTATCCGAGCATGTATTTAAGTTTAAGTTAAAGTATTTAGCCTTAGTTGTAAGACTCATGTTGAAAAGGGTTTTAGTACTCTTGATTACATCTAGCCAGCTAAATTAGGTGAGATTGAATAAAACACATTGCTTAGTAATAACAAACTTACCTGTTTATTAAGAGACAAACACAAACTGGACAAAATTATTAATAGCAATCTGAAATTGCACAGTGAACAGTAAAACCGTAAACAGTTAAAGGTGCAAGTATTACTGTAAGTTTTAATAAAAATGCAAAACAGGGAAACACTGGCGCAAAATAGTGGAATGGATCGTTTCAATCGGCGAAACTGGAAAATACGGACCGGATTTTTTTTTTAAAACTGGATCGGCAGTCTGGATCGGCATTTTACATGCTTTGCCGATACACATTTTTTTGCCAATATCGGCGTCCGATCCGATACGTGGATCGGATCGGGACAAGCCTAACAGTAGGTTTTTTGTACCAGATATGATTTATTAGCTATGCTCAGATGTCTTGACATACAATAAAATGTTGGTAGTCTCAATTTCAACAATCTTTGCGTGCTTGTCTCTTGTGCCAGTTTAATTTTTTCAGTTTCTGTCTTTTTTCAATCATGTCTTTATTGGTCTCCTTCCCTTAGGATTCTACCTAGTTGCGTTAAATGTTCTTGTTTGGTCCCACAAACACCTTTTCAGCAGTTTAGAAGCCATTCGAGTTCCTCCCCTCTTTCAATTAACTTGCCGTCCGGTTTTCCATGGCAGGTTCCACTTGCTTCCCTGCTTCTTGTCAGTTTATTCTTTGGATCCCCTCGCACGTCATTTATACCTTTCAGGAACTGTTATAATTTTTACTATTTTTGTGGTTTGGTCCTTCAGCTATTAGAATGGATGCATCAGATTGTGGTTAAAATATTACAGGCATCCTAAGATCTCCTAAAATCTGCCTCATTCTTTTAAATTCAAACAATAGCATATCATTAGTGGTAACATTTTACTTAAAACTTTACTCAAATGATAAAAATAAGTGCTTTTTACTGTTTCCTTCGTGATGCTTTTTGGTTAAGTAATTTAAAGAACCCATCACTGTGTTCAACCAATGTCTTTAATGAAAACCTGCTTCTCCCTCCTGTTTTCAGGTGGTCTGTTTATCAGAAACACTGATCAGGAATACACCGCTTTCCGATTGGCCATCTTCCTGCACAACACGAGCCCCAACGCCTCAGAAGCCCCGTTCAACCTGGTGCCTCACGTGGACAACATTGAAACGGCCAACAGCTTCGCTGTCACCAACGCCTGTGAGTTGAAATTATGCAGTGTTCTTGATCGCCAGCAGTTAAAGCAGTGAAAACCGCTTTATATTTTTCATTATTTAGATTGAATTAATGTTTCATTTTCTATTAATATAATCTCATACAATTAAAAGGACTGAAAGTATCTAACAAATGATTAGGGTATGACTCATCCAATTCCCACTGGCTTGCTTGATATTATTGCATATTCAAATGAATGTGTGACATAAGTTAGGCTGTCTTTGACTAAGGTGTTTCAATAAAACATTAAACCATGTTCGGTTTGGCGTGGAAAGTTGGAGTAAGGGGAGAAACATGGACTGGGTTCAACAGGGTTTGTTTTCAACTTTTGGTTGTTGGTGCTGTCTCACGTTGCTATCTTTGTTACTGGCCGTTTCTCAATTCAAAAGAATGTGAGTAGGGAATCGTGTCCTCGCCAAGTATGTTCTTGACAAGAACACAGCAAAGTGTGGACCTAGTATGAATATGGGTCAATTGGAACAGTGATGTCACCACGCGCTCAACTTGTCTGGAGCTGCATTTCACCTCCTATTAATAGTCTCTAAATAATAATGAATTCTTACTTTTTTCATTTAGTGGGGGAATAATAATTAAAACAGTCAGATAAACACAAACCAAAGAAACATTTTGCCAAGTAAAACAAAAAACTCTCCATCAGAGCCAGCGGTCCTTCACACATGGCAAGGATTGGACCTGGCTGCCGTTACCCTCGGAGCTCTGCTGGTTGACGCGGTCCTCTTAACACCTTTTTCTTAAATTACACATTAAATCGGTAAACGGACCATTTAGTCATGCTTAAAAGTATAATGTTCTCCCCTCAAATGATCTTAAAATGTACTTTTGTTGAACAACAGCAACAAAAAGATCTTTTAACTTAATACTCTGAACTCTGTGAGCGCTCCACTGGTTGCTGCTGCTGCTGTGCATGCTGGGACTGCTGTCAATCTCAAGAACCGTCAAGTCTGCTCTGATGCATACTCGGCAAAGAGGGAGGGGCAAGAGCTAGGGCTGCAACAACGAATCGATAAAATCGATAAAAATCGACTTTTAAAAGCGTTGGCAACGAATTTCATCATCGATTAGTTGTGTCGCTCGATTATTGCGTCATCCGCCGCGCCGTCATCACTGCCTCTTGACTGAAAGAGGAAGAAAAAAAAAATATGGCAGAGCGAAGTAGCGCCGCAGGTGCAGTGTTGCCAACTCAGCGACTTTTCAGACCCCTCCAGCGACTATTTTCAAAAAAGCGACTAGCGACAAATCTGGCGACTTTTTTCGGTGTCACTGGCCGCTTTTGGAGACTCTTACGTGAAAGCATGTATCGTTCCTACTCTGCCGTGGGGCGCCTCCCCCTACTCCCGCAGGAGTCCCTCTCAGCGCTGCAGTCAGAGCCTCAGCGTCCAGACTGCAAATGAAGCGCGCATGCACCGGGATTGACGGCGCAAATTGATCACAATAATTAAAATAGCCTGCGCTTTGTAAAGCGAAAAAAGTGATAACATGCACCTTTTTTCAAAACAAATTAACATGGCACGGAACCACCATGTTTGTTTGGTTTTAAAGTGGGGAAACGTAACGTTAGTTTCTCAGGTAGCTCATCTGATGCTTTCCTTACCGTGTTAGTAGGTTACAGACAGTGATAAGGTTGGCTACTTATTTTACTTTTAATTTCATTTGAATTAGCTTAAGCAGCGTTTACATTTACTTTATAAATAAATTAACTTGCAAATTATGAGGGCAAAGCTTTTAAAGTTTAAATCTTCTGGCAAAGATAAAGTAAAGAAGATCCTGCAATTTATGGAAGTAAAGCAGAATAAAATCCAGCAAGATCAGTAATATGTCAATTAATTATATGCCACATTCCCATGTAAATATCTGTCTTTGGAGGATGTGTTTTTTTACCACCCCTAGTTCTCTCATTTTTATTCCAAATACGATTTATAATTTGAATCACAGGGCTATTTTTATCTCTATGGTTCAGTATTTTCTCAAGTAGCAACTTTAACTGCTATACTTTCCTGTCTTAAAAGGCAGAACTCTTCTAGTCTAAAAAAAACTCATTTGTTGAAATGGGGGGGCCTATTGTTTGAACCCCTTAGGGGCTTTTAAAAACAAAAATGTCTTTTTTTGTGCTTTATGAAACAAAGTAGCCTATATTTTGTGGATGTACAGCTACATTTCTCATGTAAGTTTGCGTAGTTTTAACACAAACATTTATTTTTCATATTGCACCAGTACAGTTAATGAGCAACCTGTACTTGTGTGCTTGTTTGTTCTGTCTAAAATGTTTATTTTGGAATAAAGAGGTTAATATAAAAAATATTTTTTTGTCCGATTCATCGATTAATCGAAAAAATAATCGTCCGATTCATCGATTTTTAAAATAATCGTTAGTTGCAGCCCTAGCAAGAGCAACATCTGGGACTTTGTCTGTTCTCGGTCTGCTGTTCTTGTGAATTGGAACAGTACTAAGGCTGAGGCTGATGACATTTCATGAGGACATGAGAAGTCACAAGAACAAGAACGAAAACTTGAATGTAAAGACAAGAGGCCGATGTGTTTACCAATAGAACTGAAACTACAAGAAGCCATGTTAGCATGCACACTATATGGTGTGCCCAACCGGCTGTCCTAGTCTTAGTTTTCTCTGACATTACCGTAGTTGCAGCAAGTTAATGTCTTCAAATGATGGAAGGATAGGTTTAATTGTAACATTTCTGCATCCTCCTTTTTGCAGTCAAACATCAGTCATTGATTATTCAAATTTAATTCTGTTAAAAAGCAGCGTCTTAGATACAGAACATCATTGTATATCTGAGCTAAAAGAAACCATTCAACAAGTACAAAATAGCATGACGGATAGCAGCAAATATTCCTTCATTTTGGAATAATATAAAAATAGGTTCAGTTTACTTTTCTGCTGGATGATAATCCATAAATTGCGGTGATATAAAGGATTCTTTTCAAAGAGAACAGTTGTTCCATAGCTTATGGAGGTGATTCATTTTGATTTGTTTAAATTTCATCCCAGACAGGAGCCAGATTTCCCTTCATTACCGGCTGTTGACCTGTTTGACCTGAAATTTTACTAGAGATTCAGAATCTGTCGACAAGTGGTCTGTGTCTTTTGATATGCTTTAGGTTTAATATACTTTTTTTTATACCTTGAGATCAAAAACATTGATTTATAAATCTGTGCATCAACAATAGTACATAGAGTGAGAAAGTAATGAAAGCCTTAATGAAGGAAGTTGCTTAGGAAGTAGATGGATTCATGTTTTATCAGAAGCATCAACTTGAACTAAAGCAGATTGATGGACCAAAAGTTAGAATGTATCACTCTTTTTAAGTCAGATAAAGGTCCAATTAAAATATCATACTCCATGCTTTAATGGATGCATTGAAGAAGTATGAAAAAGCTCAATATATATGGAAGTTTTGGTTTTCAAGTGCTTAATACTCAGAGGATTATAAGTCTAGTGTAATGAAGTAGGGAAACCTCTAAAACCTGCCGGACAGTGGCCCTTCTTTGGCCAGCACTGTGCTAGATATATGGGAATATGCAGCAACAGGTTGGGAAGGGGTTGCAAAACCTCGTTAACTGATCCTCACAAACATGCAACAGGAGAAAGGTCACTATGGATCCATCTCATAGATCTCAACAATGGGATTTTAATCTATAAGAAAAATACATGTGATAAATTTTATGTACATTCAAGCTTGGTAATGAGAAAATCCAAGTAAAAAGATGGAAGATTTGCGAGGTATTTTGCAGGTTTCCACTTAATGGTAAAAACTGTGCTTTTATTTCAAGACATAAATTGTTCCTGGACCTGTGCATCTGATTTTTGTTGTTGGTTTTTCGCTTTCTCTTCTCTAACCCCCAGCTGTTTATGGTAAATGGAAGTTTATACTAACAATGAAATCCTATATTCTCCGCAACCGCCCCGCTCCGCTGCGCTCCAGACCACCTGCACAAAGCAAAGCCTACAGCCTCTGAGGTTCCTCCCATCTTGCTCGGCTCCGACATCCTCGGAACTCAAGGAGAGTATGCGCGACTTTATTATTAAACTCTTTGGAGAAACACATGCAGAAATGAACACTTAATTTAACATGACATATTAAAAAATCCCTATTAGTATCCAGCATATGTGCATTTTCTGCACAAATATTTTCTTTTTGTTGTAGATTTTTGTAACTGGGATAACTAGGATCATAGCAAATTGGTTTGTATGAACTATGCTTGCTCTTTACTTCCAAACACTTCATCTCTTCCTCCATCCCTGTCATAAGAAGTTTCTTTTGAAGTTGTGAGATGCGCTCTTGGAAGTTATTGTGACTAAACTTGATCAAACTTGTAAGCCTTAGTATAAAATAAATATTTTGATGGAGATGAGAAATTTACTTCCTGGTACGTTGAAGTACCAATAGTTTGCATCCAGTCATTTAATTAAATGGTCTTAGTTTTGGGGAATATGTAAGAATTATGGTCTAATTTGTAGATACCGATCTGCCGTTACTATATTTTAATTTGACAAACCAGATCCTCTCGCCGTTTTATTTTTCCTGTTTGGTCCGATTGCAATTGCAGATCTTGGACCGCAGCAGAGCACAAAATAGCTTTGCTCCATATTTTGACGGTGGAAGATGGAGAAGATCTACGTGGAGTAGCGGTGGATGCGGAACAATCTCATTGATTAACATGACAGACGAGTATTCCTCACGACGTACATGAGTGGGGCGGAGCTGAGCAGAGCGCTGACGGAGTATGTGGAATCGGGGGATTATTCTGGCTCTCCAATTCTGCTGGAGGTTGCTCCCTCTGAAAGGGGACTATTTGTTTCCCCATTAGCTCCAGACATGCTCAGTTTGAGGGATTGCTGCATAGTTTACAACTTAATTCAATTCCTTGCCGAGTGTCACTACAGGTGCTGGTCATAAAATTAGAATATCATGAAAAAGTAGATTGATTTCAGTAATTCCATTTA